TAATTATTTTTCGATTATTAATATTTTGTAAAATTTATTATTGTTATTGTTTATTTTGTAATCGTGTTGAACTAAAAATCGAAACGATTGTTACGTTACGATAATATATAATACGTGTGTCGCGGTGCAAAAGTTTATTATTTTAAAATATTAAACGACTGATCGACTAATATAATAATAATAATAATAATAATAATAATCGTGAGTGTTATCGAAAAATAAAGAACGAGAAACGAGGGAAAGAAACAAATACAAAGATTAAAACCTTCGGACAGTGTCTCGTCTCTTCTGTTCTTCTCTACTATTATACTATTACTATACTACTACTACTATTACTATTACTACAGAGTATTAGCAGCGGTCTCGAGTAACAGTGATAATCACGGACCGCTTTAAACGGTGCGCGAGTGACGCTCTCGATCCTAACGTGTTCCGATTAACTTCGTTCCGTTACGCGTATTCCCTCGAGTGTGCGCTCCACAATATATATATATATAGTATATAAAACGAGAGGACTCGCGGGAGTAGAAAAGAGGAACAAAGAACAAACGACGTGCCTACTATATATATATATACTATATTACTATCTGCTATTACTACTGTGTGTTGTATATCTTTTCTCTCGTTCTACTAAGTGTAAAGAAGAAAAGAAAAGAAAAAAAAACAAACAAGAAGAAGAAATAAAAAGTGAAAATAATTAAAAAAGAAAAATAAAGGGATACATCTTTCTATCTCTTTCCCTCCAACTGGACACCTCTACGTAGTCTTCTGTCAGTTCAATTTCTACTTTCCATCTTCAAGAGAAGGAGAAACGTAACAAATTGCAGCAGTAAGAAAGAAACAGCAATAGCAGTGTAATATATCATCAAACTTAAGCATCAAAAAACACTATTAGGCATATCATCGTCATCTTCTTCGTACGTCGAACGACACGAAACCCCAACGACAACGACGACGACGACGACGACGACGACGACGACGACGACGACGACGACGACATCATCGAATTGTTTCTTGAGGTAAAGTGATTTTTTTCTTTTTTTGTTCTTTCTTTCTTTCCTTCCTTACATTTTTTTTTTTTTTNTTTTTTTTTTTTTTTAATCTTTTATAAATGACGTCACACGAGAGAGAGAGAGAACATACGTCAAGTTGAGCAACCTCCGACCACGTACGCCACCACCGACTACCGTGTCTGATCCACCACCCCATTTTCCACCTCCTCCACCAACACCCCCAGCCTTCCCCCAGCCCCCTCCCCTCCTCTCCCGTTCCCGCTATCCTCGATCGCACGTACGCACTCTCGTCATGTCGTACATACACATATATATACGCATTATACGTATACACCATCATTTATCTATCCTTCATCTTTCTACTTACCTATATATATATATATATATATGTATATTATTTTTTTGTCTTTGTCTTTTCTTTTCTTTTCTTTTCTTTTCTTTTCTTTCTTTTTTGCTTTCTTTCGCACGTGCGATGAAAATAACGATATTACGTATTAGATGCGACACGTCGTTGGATAGGATAATCTGGATAATGCGTTTCTTACTATTTTTTTATTTTTTTTATTTGAACACCCTGTATTACGTATATTAACTCGTATTTAATTTATTAATATATTTATTTGTATTATTATTCTTATTTTATTTTTATTATTATTTTTATTATATTACACACACACACATATATATATAATATAAATGTTACAGGATATTTTCTTACGTTAATAAAGAAAACTAAAAATTCCATAATTAAGAAATAATAATTAATGATAGATTTGTATTATATTTTTATCTATTGATCTATATATATATATATATATGTAGATAATTATGATCGCGTGACACGTAAGCATGTTATCTTGAAAATACAAGTTTACGAGCTAATCGATGATAGGGCATATCACGGAAATGAACAATGTCGCCTTCGTCGATCGGATTTCTCTCGAATATAATAATCATCATTTTTTTTTTTCTTTTTCTTTCTCAATAGATAATTAAAATTTATTTAAGATAGAAAGTATAATAATAATAATAATATATTTTTAATTTCTCTATTTAAAAATTGTGTGTGTTTTTTTTTTAATTTGTTGTTTTTGTTGACATTCACATTGTTTAAGTGATTTTACATGTATAAAACATATATGTTACTTGTTTATTACGTATAATAAAAATACCTTATGTATATAGATAAATACATTGATTTGGTATTAACAAGAAGATATCTCTTTCTAAATCACTCAACACTATTCGATTTATCACGTCGTAGCGTCTGCTTAGGGAATGCCATTAGGCGGATTGCTCTCTGGTGCTATCGATTTTGTTCCACGCTTTATGCATCGGCCTTCTCTGGGAACCTGTACGATCTTTGTTTAATCCATATACATACTCTTCTTGTGTTCCTCTCTCTCTTTCTCTTTTTCTATCTATCTATCTTTCTCACTCTTTCTTTCTCTAATTTTCGCTTTCTCTCATCTACCTTTGATCTTTATACGCGTTCCTTGTTTCTTTGTCAAACTTAACGCGATAATAAAGTTGTAAGCGCACGCGAAAAAACCTCACGTATCTATCTCTCTATACATTATTATTATTATTATTATTATTATTATTATTTATAATTATTATTACTCTCGTATGTGTGTATGTGTGTGTATGTGTATAAGAATGTATATTTTTGTAGATATGTGTGGGTGGGTCGAGTGTTATGAGTGAGTGAGTGAGTGAGTGAGTGAGTGAGTGAGTATGTATGTATGTATGTATGTATGTATGTATGTATGTATGTATGTATGTATGTATGTATGTATGTGTATGAATACGTCCGGTTGTATGTAAAATTTTATTTTTATCGAACGTAAGCAAAATGACGCGTAGGATATGTGTTTTTCACGTTCATCTTTCGTGTTCCTCGAAAGAGAATCATCTCATCCGATTCCCTTCTTTTTCTACTGGTTAAACTCTGACGTCATCTTTGTTATCTTGTAATACCGCGTATACATTTCTTCTTATCTAGTCGCTTATTTTATTAACTTCGATTTTGTGGAATTATATTTATTTATTATTATATATATATATATTGTTGAATATTATTTTATTGCATTAGTTGAATCATAGATTATTTATATATTTATTTATTTATGAATTTATTGATATATATTAATTTAAAAAAAAATATATATATATATACGTATGTATATATTTGTCATTTTATATTGACAATTCTAAAGTCCCGTTTACATGATAACTATTCTTCTCAACAGATATATATGTATGTATGTGGTACGAGGGATAGATAGATATATATGTATGTATTTGTATGTGAGTGAGTGAGAGAGAGAGAGAGAGAGAAAGAGAGAGAGAGAGAGAGAGAGAGATACGTAAATACTTTGTAAAGATTTATCGGTGAATGGTCACGTGAGAAGAAAATGGCGTAACGAGTGTTAACTTTTTTTTTTTTCTTCGACGAAGTAGAAGAAGAAGAAGAAGAGAGATTTCATTACACTTCAAAACACGTCTTATCGATTATCTTGTTTTTCGACTTAACCTTAACTCAAATAGAAATTCGTTATCATCGTATATGCATTTAACACAACACAACACAACAACAACATGCATAGTTTAATAGATTTGAATAATAATAATAATAATAATAAGAAAAATTTACGATATAGAAAAAAAAATCTGATAGTAGATCAAATAAGAAATAATAATTATATAATTTAATTGTTTGTTTCAATTTGTTTATTTATTATCATCATCATCATCATCATCATCATCATCATTTTATAGATTAAGGATTATAATACATTGTTCAAAACAAATTTTAAATTCGTCCGGCCATCTTGATACAGCCATTTTTTTTATTATTATTATTATTATTATTATTACAGCAATCTGTTGTTTGCATTCCTGAAATCAAAATTAAATCAAAATGTTTAAATCGTCACAAAACAAAAAAAACAAACGTTGATTTTTATCGACGATTATTTTTTGTTAAAACATACGGAAAATCTTTTTATTTTATTCTTTTTTTTTTATTTTTTATTTTTTTTTTTTTTTTTATTAGAAAGGTCAAATTAGTCTGTTCGGAAGTTTGACATATGCACTAACGCACGATCGAAGCTTTCGCGTTGGGTTAACGAAGGGAACGGTTACTACGAGGGCCCACGAACTTCCCTTTCAACTTCGATATCGAATTCGTGTGAAGTTCAAGAACTGTCGTTATACGAACATTCCCTCTCTCTCTCTCTCTCTCTCTCTCTCTCTCTCTCTCTCTCTCTCTTTCCTAAATACTAACACACTGCTACACGTTATATATACATGTATATATATATGTACCATGTTCTACGTTCTACAACGTAAAATCAGTGTACATATAAGTATAGATTTTCCAGGTAAAATTGCAGAGAGAAATTTCTCTTTTCATTTTACGTATTTCCTACTCGTTACAGTTTAAAAAAAAAAAAAGAAAAAAAAGAAAAAAACTCTCGTGATTGGTTCTTTTACAAAATATTCTTAATTATTCAATTTAACTTAGATATTTATTTTCTTAACAATAATAAAATTGTAAGAGGTATTTAATGATTAATTTCAAAACCGATAAATTAAGTGACCATAATAAACAAATCGATCTACATCAATAAATATATATATATATATATAAAATTGTATTTATAATTGCAATTTATTATTATATTATACTATATATATATATAATATAGGAAAACTCGTTAGAAATGATCCAAAGTGGCATTGCACGCTCATGCATATATATATATATATTTATATATGTATGTATGTAGGTGTGTATGTGTAAAAGAGTGAGAGAGAGAGAGAGAGAGAACAGTATAATCTTTGGCGGTTCTTTTTCCCGTGTTCCTCCTCTTCCTCCTCTACGACCCACCCCCTACCCGAACTCTTTCCCTTGCACAACACCCCCTTTCCACCTCATCCTCTTACTGTGGTACACTACTCCTCCTTCTTCTCCTCCTCCTCCTCCTTCTCCTTCTCCTTCTCTTTCTCCTCTTCGTTGAGTTACGAAGTCAGGCGAGCACGGCGATGAAAGAAGAACGCGGCGGCCGCGTGAAAGTAAAGAAAGTGGGCCGCACGAAGTAGTCTTCAAGCTACAACAAGCAGACACACACACACACACACAGAGATACAGAGAGAGAGACATAGACATAGACACAGATACTAAGGGATATAGGCACACACAATCTTTTTCCTCTTCTTGCCAAAGAGATTCTACTCTTTACCACCCCCCACCTACCTACCTACCAACCCTTCTTCCTCTTGTTCCACCTTTTCCTCTGCTTCTGCCTCCTCTAACTCTGCCTCTTCTCTTTACTTCCGTTTTTCTACGATCGTTCCGATCTTCGTGAAAAAATGAAAAATACAAGAAATTGAATATCATCGTTAGTATACTTTATTCTCATTTTATCATTATTATTATTAGTATTATTATTATTCTCGTTAATACATATTTTATTTAATAATATTTTTCAAAGAAAGTGTCCTGTTGTTTTTGTTAACACGTTGAGTGTCACACGAATTCTTAGAGGAATTCTCGTCAGGCCACGGACGTTGCTTTGTATTGAAAAAGTAAAGGAATGTGTCAGTCATTGATGACTGACGTGGCCTAAACGGAAAGTCTAATGTCAGTCATTGATGACTGACGTGGCGCTCTCAATGTGTTTAAGGAATTAATGAAAAATAATATCTCGATAAATTGAATGGAAACAATATTTGTTTATAGAAGAACAAGTTGTAATCTTATCACCAGTAAATGTAATAACCAATCACGATAGTACTGTTATATTTTTACAATATATATAAGAGGAATTGCTAAACTCTTTTAAATATTAATCGTTTCACATCGTAATACCCAGTATAACTTTCAGATCCGTTTTGGCGTCACTCCAAACTAACTCGAATATTAATTCACGTATATCTGCTCTGTGAACTGTTAGAAATAAAGGATGGAGAATAAAAAAAAAAAAAAAAGAAGGCAAAAAAAAATTCTTTCCTCTTTCATAATTAATTTTTTAATTCGAAGATTACATTGAATCAAAAAAAAAAAAAATGAAATAATAATAATAATTTTCATCTTAATAGAAATAATTTGTTAAACTTTGAGAAGAATTTATCTTCGTTAACATGCATCTATATCTTAATTTATATATATATATATATAATAATAATAATAATAGTAATAATAATAATAATAATAATATATTATTTATATTAAATAAATTATTAAATATTATATTATAATAAATAAATATAGTGTGTATATATATAGGAAAATACAAAAATAATATTTAAAAAAAATATATAACCATAATAAAATATAAATTAAATATTATGTTTAAATATATGTATATATATATATATATATATAGAATATATAGATTTATAGATTTCCTTTTAATGTTGATGAAGAGAATACAAACGATGTGTGTGTGTGTTGGTAGTAGACACTAGATACGACGTTGAGTATGGTATAATCGATAATGAGTGTACACGGCTAATGGATATTTGATCGTAGAGATTACCTAATGCTAAACGCAAGTTCAGCAAGAAAAATTAACATATCTATAGATGTGCTATAATACACTCATATAATTACATATATATACATATTTCATATTATAATTCACATATACAAATATGTATGTAAAATAATGAAGAATTGGGAATATTTTAATGAAAATCATGTTGCACAATTTTTTAATTATACAAAATATAACAAATGTTCATATTGATCTTTATCATATTTCATTCTTTCTTTTTTTATTCTGCCCAGTCACATTTTCAATGTATATATATATATATGTATTAAAATGATTTAAGGAAAGATTACTCACGTTTCGAAAGTAATTATTAGTATGTATATGTGTCCTGATTATTTTCATGAGTCATTATACAACAAATATACCAAAATTCCTTACCGAGTGTGTGACGATTATGATGACGATGATGACAATGATGACAATGATGAGAATGATGACAATGATGACGTTAATTCGATAAATATAAGGAAGATTCTTTGAAAATTGTAGTCTAACAAAAAGTATAATAGATATATATATATATATTTCAAATGTTGACGTTTTATCAAATTAAGAGAATGGTGTATAGAATGAAACACGTATACATAGACACACATATACACACATATATATATATATAATTGGGATATTCGGGATCGTCAAGATGCAAATTAATCGCAGTCTGTCAAAAGTTCTAGATAAGTCTTGTCGTCAAGGTGATTGTTACAAGTTTGGAGCAGGGCCAATATCAACGTCGTCTAAACGACAACGGCATTATCATCCTAGTGTTGAGAAGATCAACCATTTACTTTTGATTCTCATTTTGATTTTTCATTTTGATTTTGATTTTCGTTTCGATTTTCATTTTGACTTATAACGTTTCATCCATTTCCAAGTGTAATAATTTACAATCCAAGTTGCATTGATCAATCGTAATAAGTACAATCATTATTAGTATATATATATATAACTTTGTAACGGGTTGCTCCTAAATCAATTGACAAATATATATATATATATATATATATATATATATATATATAT